AGGTGGGTGCCTTTGTGGTGAGTTGGTCCAGGAAGGGGCAGTGGGATCGTTGTCCTGTCTTGGTGAGACAGGATTGGTGGGATCGTAGAACGCGAATGTTACTCGATCATAGTATCGGTATCCTCTGTTGCGACGAGCCATGCAGCTCATAATTGTCCCCTTGCCCTTGTCCTTGGTCGTGATGCGCGCAGGTGTTTGTGAGGTGCTTGCGACGGAGGGAGGCGAGATTGTGGTTGTTGTGGCGGAGGTCGAAGGAGCGGATGACTGATGGTTGGAAGGGTTGTTGCGCCTTTTGTCGGCGGCCTTTCGCTTGTAGCACCGGTCGATAGTATGACCGGGCTTCTTGCAGTACTTGCAGAAAGTCCCCTTCTTTCCGTGCTGCTCCCCTTCAGATGATCCGACATAGAAGACTAACTTTTCCCGCTTTGTGTTCTTCTCGTTGTTCAGGTCGATCTCCTTTTGTTCGGAGAGGAGCGTGGCGCACAGAGCCGATTCGGAAATAGTTGCTCGAGCGCGGAGCAAGGATTGGCATTGATGCCAGTCGGGACCAAGACCAGAAAGAACCATTGAGACGAACATGTCGTCAGGAACGGATCCGCCGCACTTTTTGATGTGGTCGCGCAGATTGCGGCATTGGTTGATATATGGTCCCGCTTTCTCTCCTTGATGCATTTTGACCGATGTCAGCTGGCTGAGCAGGCGACTCATGTCAGAATATTATGCTCTAGCCTGTAGTGGGGTGCTCTATAGCGAGTACAACCCTTCTAGGGTTTGCTATTTGTATCCTCATTCTTGCTAGTGCAACTCCTCCTTCTTTGCCTAAACTGTTTCTTGCCTAGCTAGGGCTTTCCTAGCTATGGCGCCTTCTTCTACTGCTTATTTTCACATGGTATTAGAGCGATATGCTCCTGGCCTGTGGGCCCCACCTCACTGCTTCCGCTGCTACTGCTACTCCCTGTCCGTCGCGCGCCCCGTGGTGTGCGGCGTCGAAATTAGGGTTTTTCAGCCCGCCGTGCGCCCCGAGGCGCGCGGCGGTTTTCTGCCCGCCGTGCGCCCCGAGGCGCGCGGCGGTTTTCTGCCCGCCGTGCGCCCCGAGGCGCGCGACGGGTTTCTGCCCCGTCACTCGGCGCGTCGCCCCCAGGAGGCGCTACGACGGGCGACGGGGACCCGCGCGTCGCCCCCCGTCGCCCGTCGTGGCCTGCGCGCGGCCCGTACAGCCGCCTGCGCGCGGTTCGGGAGGCTGTGCCAGGCCCGTGGGCGGCCCGTTCTTCGCTGCCCCTGTCCTCCCCGCTGTCCCCCGTGCTTCTGAAGGCGCCCCACCCCTCCTTCTGCCCGTTCTCCTGGATTAGGGTTTGGGGGTGGGGGGTATGGGGGTGCAGCTTCTGTGTGCCGTTTCCTGCTCCTCCTCCTCCTCCTCCGTCTCCCTGTGCTGCAGCTGCCGCTGAAGGGGGGTGGACCTGTTGGAGCCGTCGGAGTGGTACTAAGGGGGGGTGAAGGGGGAGTGGAGCTAGGGGTGAAGCAGGGGGTGTGTGTCAGGGGGGGTGGTACTGTTTGGGGGAGGTTGAACGGAGGTTGCCGTCGTGTCGCCAGCAGCATCTGTAGTCCGGGGAGTTGCTCCGGTAGCCCAGTCGTAGCCACCTGTGCCAGTCGCCCGTGGGTCCGTTGCTCGTCTGCCGCTACTTTTAGCCGCGGGGCCAGTTACTCCAGTAGTCCGGAGCGCTGTTCCGGTAGCCGCTGTGCCAGTGTGCCTCCTGTTGCCCGTGTGTCTGCAGCTTCAGCCGTCGCCTCCTATCTCCTCTCCTCTCACTGTCCCTCCTCCTCCTCACTTGCCCGTTGTGACTACCACTAGCTTTGCTCATAATTGTGAACTTTAAACTATTGCTTCCTGAACTTGTGCTCAGAATGTGTGGTGACATTGTGATCCACCCTGAGCTTGTTCTGCTTTGCTTGCTCTGCTGATTACACCCCACTTTGGCTATGGGGGTGTGTCAGAATATTATGCTCTAGCCTGTAGTGGGGTGCTCTATAGCGAGTACAACCCTTCTAGGGTTTGCTATTTGTATCCTCATTCTTGCTAGTGCAACTCCTCCTTCTTTGCCTAAACTGTTTCTTGCCTAGCTAGGGCTTTCCTAGCTATGGCGCCTTCTTCTACTGCTTATTTTCACAACTCATAGTGACTGGATCTGTTGCCATGTATGAGTTGCGCAGGTGCTCCCAAGAGGCGTACGCGGGTGCCCACTCTGATTTGTAGGAGCGAAAGCCGAGCTGTTCTTCGGGTGAGAGATTTCGGAGCAAGGTGGTGTACGCGAGAAGAGATTGTACTGGTTCTTCTCTTGGAGGGTGCCTTCCGTTGGAAACGGTAAGCTCCCGTCGTAGTACATCCAGATTTGCGCAGTTGTCGCGAGGAGCTCGAACTCGAAGCTCCAAGTGTAGAAGTCCTTTCCGTTAAAAGGAACTGATGTCTTCAGCTTTGAGGTCATAACAAATTTTGTCGCTACGGGCGACGGGAGTACGAGGCGCTACGGCGACGGGGTGCGGGCTAGGGCAGGGCGCTAGGCGGTGGGCCCATCGGATCGAACTACGCTCGATACCATGTTGAGAAGTGAACAAGAGAATGGATGGCTAAATAACATGCAAAACAAGAATATGTAGGAAACCCTAACTGAACTAGGGCTACCTGTAACACCTAGACGAGAACATACAAAACTATAACAAATATAGTTTGACAGCCAGAGCGCAATAACAAATGCGAACAAGCCAGGTTTCGTTAACCGCACGAAACACATCGCCCTCCGTTACTTCTTCGTGAACGACGAAATTGACAAAGGCAAGGTTAAACTTACCTGCTGCCCAATAGGCGAAATGGCAGCAGACTTTCTGACGAAGAAACTGCCATGCTAGAAGTTTAAGTATTGCGCATACCTGTGCGGAGTCATCAAGAAGTCCCACGTGGTTCACCTTCAGGAATGAAGGGGAGTGTTGGAATAACCAAAAGGCATTTTCAGCATTCCAAAAGGTGTCGCCCTATCGTACCTGCTCTTCGTGAAACCACACATGTACCACTATCGCGTTAGCTCATATAGTGCACGCAGGTCAACGGTCGCAAGTCAAATGTCGCGACTGTTGACCGTCCTGGTCAGAGGTTGCAAACAGCCTCGCTGGTCACAACCATCTCGGAGGTCACGAAGTTGCAAGGAGGTAACCGCAAGTATCGCAATAGTCACAGCTATCGTAGCGACTCCTGTAAGTATCAATTTTGCCCCATCATGGGGAATAAATTTTCTTAAGCCCCGTAGCCCGTACGCGCCCTGTAGCCGGACGCCCTGTAGCCGGACGCCCCGACGCTCGCACCCCGTCGCCCCATACGAACCTCGATCGCACCCCACTGCACCCGACCGAACCTGACAGCACCTACCTAGCCCGCCGTCCAACCTACCGTGCCCCACCTTGCCCGCCGCCGTGCCCCACCCGACCATACCCTACCGCTCTCGACCCTTCCTATCCACACTCGACTGCACTCCACCTCACTCGACCCCTCTCAATCGCACACGACCTTACTCTACCGCTCTCAACCGCACCTGACCGCACTCGAGCCTCCCTAGCCGCCTGTACCTATGCTGTTCCTCGCTGAGGCCTGCCACTGCTATGGCGGCTGCTCATGTCCTTCAGTTTGACACTGAAGGGCGTCCTGTCGACTTCGTGCCGTGGCTGCGGAAGCTCCGCCTCTACCTCGGGAGCTGCCTCGAAAACAATGCCCCCCTCTCTGAACATGCTGCTGGTGAGCTGTTGGCTCCTCCCCCTCCCAAGCCTCTTCATGCCGATCCGTCGGCGGAGGCTAAGACTGTGTTTGCCCTAGCCTGCACTGAGGTCAGGCGTTGGACCGCTCGTGATAATGCTGCCATGCTCACTGTCACTGACCATTTGTCGCCGGCGGAGCAGGAGCACTTTGGGTAGGAAGAGACGGCTATGAAACTGTTGGATGCTGTGACTGCTGGCTATTCCACCCCAGCCACTGCGTCCCTCGGCCACCACTTCCTCCCCCTCCTGTTTCCCAATCTCCTTGCGTTCCATAGTGTCGCTGACCTGATGCTGCACTTGCGCTCGCTCGATGCTAACTACCGTGCTGCTGCTGCCGATCCTTCCTTGCTTGCCAAGAACCCCCCCTCTCTCCCCCCCCCCTCCCCTCCCACATTCATCGCCCTGTACCTCCTTGCCACTCGCCTTCCTGACCGCTTTACCTCTGCTCGGGATCGCTTCCTCACCATCGACCCCATGACCCTCTCTCTTGATCTCTTTGAGGAGAAGCTCCTTGAGATCGAGGGCCGTGCGCGCTCGCTCGCTGCCGCAGGTAGTACCGTCGTTCCCCCTATCGTTGAGGGGTGTGCCCCGTCCTTGTCTCCTCTGTGGCCTCGGCCTCTGTTGCTGAGGCAACAGAGGTGGAAACAGTTGCTTCAGGTCACAAGGGGAGCAAGAAGGGCGGTGTCAGGATCGAGGACTCAACTCAAAATGTATATTATGCAAACATGGGTACAACGTCGTGCTATATATATGCATGCATGACACAAGGCGAGTAACCAGGGTGTTACTACAAGGTTCCGGGCACCAAGAAGCGACGGGAATGGGACCTTCCCGAATGATAAGGTGTTACACTTTCGGAAAATATATATTTGTTCGTAAAAACAATCAATCATCAACCCTGTGTAGTGTACAGCAGAACCTAACGACTTCAGCACTGACATTTCAGCTTGGCAAGGACCCTAGCAACGTTGAGCCAGTGTGATGTTTTTTTCAGCACTGACAGGTCAGTTGGCCTTGAAAATTCACACTGACAAAATCAGTTTAAACTCAACCCCTAACACTGATATGGACACGATTCTGGGCAGGGCACACTGATCCTTCAGCATGCCCTGAATCCAATCCGAGGGCCTGGTCCCCTCCAAGGTGTCACACCACCATCACCCCCCTTGCCCATGCAGTTCTTGTGGTAACATGCGCCTCCACTAGTTGAAATGCTGTTGCTGCTGCTGCTGTTGCTGTTGTTGCTGTTGCTGCTGTTGTTGTTGCTGCTGCTGCTGCCTCTGCCTCTGCAGGTGCAGTCGCTGCATCTGCCTCTGCTGACTCAGCGATGCCATCGGCTGCTGCAGAAGCTGCGCTCCCCCGTGTCCCGGCCCCCCCCCACCACCGGGAAGCATGGGCGAGGCTGCCTGTTGCTGCTGCAGCTGCTGCTGGTGCTGCAGGGGGAGCATGGGCGAGTGCGGGTGGGAGGCGTGCATGAGCTGTGGCGAGGGAGCGTTGTACGACAGGGCGGGCGACGGAGCCTGGAACACGGGGGGCGACGGGGCTGACAACCCGCCCGTGCCGGCCTGCAGGCCGTACTGGGGGGGGCTCGTGGCCAGGTGCATCTGTGCAGATGCCACCTGCCCCAGGTTGCCCGGGGACGGTGCAGCGTAGCTTCCTCTCATCTGTGGCGCTGCTATGGGCCCTGCTGCACCCATGGCGGCGCCCAGCGCTGACAGCGCTCCTCCTACACCCCCCCCTGCCGCCTCTGCCCCGCCCATCGCTGCTGGCCCTGCATGGGAAGGGGCGCCAGCACCAGCAAAGTCGCCCATGCCCCCTGCTGCAGCCCCACCAGACCCCACTGCTGCGCCAGGCACACCCACCCCACCACCTCCTCCTGCTGTACTGCCTGCACCTGCCAACCCTGCACCTGCAGCTTGGCCAGAACCCCCCATGGGTACGTTCGGCCGAACCAGACTTGAGCCTGAGGGCGGCATTCGGCCGAGCGGCACCGCTCCTCCTCCAGAGGCTGCGCCTGCGGAGGCGGGCATGGCGCCAGCCCAGCCCCCCGGCACGCCCAGCAGCGCCCCTCCCAGCCCCTCAAACGTGCGCATGCCACTCGGCATGCCCAGCAGCATCGTCGGCGCCCCCGATCCCCCTCCTGTGCTGCCCCCGCCGCCAGCTGTCAGCATGGGATTGGCTGCAGCAGACGGGCGTGCGATGCCGACGGGAGTGGCGGTGGAGAGGGAGGGCAAGGGGGTGGTGAGCGGAGCGGTGGCGGGGCGCACAGGCAGAGATGCCGACCCCGCTGCTGCACCTGGCGGCCGCGGTGCCGCCCCACCCGCTGCACTGGCAGCAGCGGCGGCAGCAGCAGGTGTGAGCGGGGAGGGCGACGCGGCCGAGGGGGCAAGAGGGGCGGTGGGCGGGGAGGGGCGAGCAGCAGCGGAGGAGAGCGGGTGCGATGGGGTAAGGGAGGGAGCAGCTGATGCGGTGGGCAGCAGAGGAAGGGGTGCCGCTGCATGGGGCGAGGGCGGCAGCAGGAGGGGATGGGGAGGGAAGAAGGGCAGTGTGGAAGGGAATGAGTGGGATAGAAAGCGAAGGATGAGTAGGGCTGGAATGGCATAACACTGCGTGCGGGATTGCATGATTTGGGTGAACTGCGGGCAGTGCCTACAGCCAACACACAATGCATGGCGGCAGATAGAGCGGATGAGGGCAAGGGAGACGGGGGATGGGGGGGTGGGGGAGCGAGGGGACGGGGGCAGGGGAGAGAGGGGACGGGGGCAGGGGAGAGAGAGGGGGCGGGGGCCAAGGGAGAGAGAGGGGGCGGGGGCCAAGGGAGAGAGAGGGGACGGGGGCGAAGGGAGAGAGAGGGGACGGGGGCGAAGCCAAGGGAGAGAGAGATGGCAACGTACAGGCAGGCGGGGCGGGTGATGAGGCAGGCACGTCAGTGTGAGCGGCAGTGGCAGTGGCGGTGGTGGCAGCAGCGGTGGCAGCAGCAGGTGCGGGTGCAGCAGTGGTGGTGGCGTCATGCGGGTGCTTCCTCTTGCGCGGTCGCATGTGTGGCGGCAGGGCAGCTGCTGCTGGCGCTGCCTGGCCTGGGTGGCCGCGGTGGGCGGGAGGGGCAGGCCCAGCAGCGGCCGCCTGGGGGGCCACTCGGAACCCTGACGCCATGGGAGGGCGGGTGGGAGGAGAAGGGAGCGGGGTGGGGAGGGAGGACATGAAGAGAAATAGGTGGGAAGGTGGAGGAGGGGTGAGGCGAGCAAGGCAAAAGTGAGGGGTGCATGGCAAGAAGGGTATGTGGGGGTGCGTGGTGCGAGGGGTGGGTGGGGGTGCGTGGTGAGACGAGACGGGTGTACGTGTGAATGTGAGCATCTTGTCATGCTGCACATGGGTCGAAACACTGCAACTGCCACCAACGCCCTTTCCCCCCACACACCCTCGCCGGTGGCCAGCGCATTTCTGAGAAGCTTCTCCTGGTCGGCGACGCGGGCGAGAGCAGCCTTGTCCGTGCTGCCCGCGCCGTACAGCGCCGCCACGCTGGCCGCCGCCTGCCGCGCCCCGATGCCGTGCGCCTTGCGCGCATCCAGAATGACCTTCTCCGCGCGCTCACACGCCACGTCCACCATCTTCGCCTGCCCGTGGGGTAGGGAGGAGGGGGCGAGGGGAGCGGACGCCAGGGATAGATGGCACCAAGGGAAGGGAGAGGCGAGGCGTGTGACTTGCGCACGCACAGGCGGCCTGCAGTGGCGACGGCATGGCTGTGAGGTGCGCTCAGTTACACGGCATGGCTGTGAGGTGCGCTCAGTTACACGGCATGGCTGTGAGGTGCGCTCAGTTACACGGCATGGCTGTGAGGTGCGCCCAGTTACACGGCATGGCTGTGAGGTGCGCCCAGTTACACGGCACGCACACTTGCCTGCAGTGGTGGAGGGAAGGGCGCGACGGGGCGCGAGGGAGAGAGGAGAGGGAGTACTGAAGTGATAGAGAGAGAAGAGGGAGTACTGAAGTGATAGAGAGGAGAGTGGCGAGGGACAGAGAGATGAGAGCAAGTGTCTGGGTGATGAGCAAGGAAGCACTAAGAATGGCCTTGACAGGGCGATGGGCATCCCCCCACCGCTGCTCCTCCCGGCAAGGCAAGGCACGGCAAGGGGAGGGACAGCAAGGGGAGGCACAACAAGGGGAGGCACAGCAAGGGGAGGCGAGGGAAGGTGGAGGGCAGTGGGGCACCTGCAGCTGCAGCAGCTCGAGCTGCTGCGCCACGGGCAGCGCTGCCAGTGGCCCCCTCAGCGCGTCCTCTCTTGCCCGCCCCTCCACGTCCATCTCCGGCAGCAGCTTGGACGACAGCATTATGGGCAGGACTGGTGCCAGGCGGCGGGGTGATGCGCCGGGGGAAGAGCCCGGACAGAGGAGAAAAAGGAAAAGGGGAGATAGTGAGAGGGAGCGATGGATTGATTGACAGGTGGAATGAGAGTACTAAATAATCGGGAATGATTAGGTTGCTCTGTAATGTGGTTGGCGCTGCAATTCACACGTGTGAGGTGGCGAGGTTAGCCCCACACAACTGGTGGTGGCTGTTGTGGTTGAACTGATCAACCATGATTGCTTGTGTTTCGAGAATCCACCGCAGCAGGGGCTGGATATTATAAGTACATCCCATTCATTGCACAAGCATAGTAGCATTGCACACATGGTACTCAAACACACCCCTTAGCATGGTAGGTAGAAGGCTAGTGGAAGGGCGAGGGACAACAAGGGGCGAAGGCCAAGGATGCAACCATGTGGCAGGTCGTGGGAGGGCTTGGCGCAAGATTGGCGTGAAGGACGTTGTTAACGACGAGCAGCTGTTAACGACGAGCAGCTGTTAACGACGAGCAGCTGTTAACGACGAGCAGCTGTTAACGACGAGCAGCTGTTAACGACGAGCAGCTGGCTGTGCTGCTGAACGAGAGAATGAAGGTGATGACGCTTAAGAATGAGAGTGTTACGTTGTGCACTTTCACCTTGAAAACGTCCCTCAAGTGTGATGCTTCCAGGTTACGAATGGATTGGGTTTGGGAGGTCTGGTGAGGCATAGCTTTCCTGGGTGGCGCGGATCTGGTGGTAAAATGCGAGATGCATGAGGATGCGCAGGCAGACTGCAAGATCCACAGATCCGCATGGAGGGGTGGGCGTGGATGCGCGCATGCGTCACATCCACCCACAGCTCGTACGTGCCATGCCAGGCCTGCCGCGCACTTGCGGGTGCAACGCTCGTTGATGCACATCTGGTGGGTGAGTCACGAGTCACGTTGTGGGATCAGGACCGTGACGGGCCATCCTCAACTGCTAGGTTCAACCTGGCACGGTTGCCAGGTGGACCATATTCCAGTGTGCACGGCCCGGGTTTGACATTGTTCATGCAAGCCTAGGGTTAGACTGGCACATCAGCACAAAGACACATCCAAGCGGGTGTACAAGCAGCATGGCGGATAGCAGCGCGGGGGTAACAGGTAAATGGGGAGCCGAGGCAAGAGGGTGGAGGGGGAGGGAGGACGAAAAACGTGGCACTACATGAATGGCCCTGGAATGGGCTGACAAGACTGCAGCACGTGGTGGGGTGGGGGCGAGTGCAGCACGTGGTGGGGTGGGGGCGAGTGCAGCACGTGGTGGGGTGGGGGCGAGTGCAGCAGTAATGCAGAGTGGGAAGTGGCGGAGAGGGACGAACCAGCAGCCACATCTCCGGCCGTCCGTCATTCAACGCCTCCCACCCCTCCAACAATCCCCTTCAGCAGTGCGGCCTACCGGCAGCATTGTGAGCGGTGACGGTGGCGGGGCAGACAGCGAAGGAGCGCAGCATGGGCATGACGTCATCCACGAGGCTGTACAGCCCCGCACTCACCACACTCAGCGCCGCCACCGCCTCCGCCCTGATGCCCGCCCCGGGGGGTGCGTGTGGGATTAGGAGAGGACGGCAAGGACGGGAAGGTGGGGAGAAGGGAGTGCGGGGTGAGGCGAGGAGAGGGGGGTAAGGTGAGGAGAGGGGGGTAAGGTGAGGAGAGGGGGGTGAGGCGAGGAGAGGGGGGTGAGGTGAGGAGAGGGGGGTGAGGTGAGGAGAGGGGGGTGAGGTGAGGAGAGGGGGGTGAGGTGAGGAGAGGGGGGTGAGGAAAGGAGGGCAGACCGAGGGCAGGAAGCAGGCGGGAGCATGAATGCAGTGGTGGGTGGCAGGGACGAGTGTAGGTGAGCTGAGGTGAGGTGAGTACACGATGCCAGTGAGAGCATGCGGTGGTGACGGGGAGGGCAGGAAGCGAGGGATGAGGGAGGTCGGTTGACAAGCAGCCAAGGCCGCAAGTGACGTGAGAGGCACGCATGGCATGTGTGACGGCATGTGTGACGGCATGTGTGACGGCATGTGTGACGGCATGTGTGACGGCATGTGTGTGGCTGTGATTGACCTCCCCGCCTAGTGCATCTCCCCGCCTAGTGCATCTCCCCGCCTAGTGCATCTCCCCGCCTAGTGCAGCTCCCCCTGCCCGCCAGCCTCCAAGGGACACGCAGCCTGCCCGCTCGCACCCACCTGCACCTCCACACCTGCTGCCACCCGCACCCCCCCACCATGGCCCATCGTCCCCCCCCCACCATGGCCCATCGTCCCCCCCCCACCATGGCCCATCGTCCCCCCCCCACCATGGCCCATCGTCCCCCCTCCCACCATGGCCCATCACCCCCCACCCCCAACCAGGGCCCATCGCACCCCCCCCACCATGGCACATCGTCTCCCCCCCTCCCCCCTCTCCCCTCCACCATGGCACATCGTCTCCCCCCCTCCCCCCTTTCCCCCCCACCATGGCACATCGTCTCCCCCCCTCCCCCCTATCCCCCCCCCCCCATGGCCCATCGTCTCCCCCCTTCCTTTCCCCCTCCCGTCCCCCCCCCTCCCCCCATCATGGAGGGTCGGCTACGCGCAGCAGTGGACGAGCGGCAACAGGGTGGCAGTGGGCCGTCACACACGGCCAGCGGAGGAGTGCACCGCCGTGATCACATGGAGCAAGGCTCTGTGGTCCATGCGCGGGGGGGGGGCGGCGACTGACCATTTGAGGTGCACGTGCTGCTCGTGGAAGGCGCCCATGACGCGCGCAATGCTGCCCTGCAGCTCCGCCACACGCGCGCGCACGCCCGCCAGGTTCAGCTGCTGCACCAGCTGCGCCCTCTCCGCGTCCGCCGCCCTCGCTGCCGTCGCGCCCCCACTCGCTCCCACTTGCGCCGCTGCCCCTACGACTGGCGTTGCCATGATTGCTCTCTCCCAACTCGCGGCTGAAACGGGGAGGGCGGGCGGACCTCGTGACGAGGCGTGCGGGCGAGCGCGGGGTGCGTGCGTTAACGGACGCGGTGGTTCGTGAGGGTGAGCTGGGCGCCGCAGATGGTGCGCGCGCTATGGTCGCGGCGGTGTGAGATGCTGCGCGTCACGATCTCTCGTGCGGCCGCAGCAGCTAGTGCGGCGTGCGCGCGTGTAGGAGAGCGTGCGGGGCGACTGTGAGAGTGCGGGAGAGGCGAGAGTGATCGGGTGGGGTGTGCGTGTGCGAGAGGGCGGGCGTGGTTACCATGCGGGTGTCCCCAATAATTCGAGCGTTCGTAGCGCGTGCAAAAGAGAGGTCGCGGGGCTTGCGAGACTGCGGGCGCGGCGAGTGTGAGATGAAGGACGAGGTTCCGCAAGGGGAGGCGAGGGGAGGCCGCGATGGGTGGCGAGACGGGAGTGAGAGGTGACGGCCCCCGCGATAGAGAGCAAGCTGGCACGGCTAGTGCTGTTTCACGCGCGGGCGCGCGAGGCGTTGGCGCACGCGCGTAATCACTGTAAGCTACTCGTTGGGCTTCTGCGTGGAGAAACGGAGGTGTACACGGCGCTGGTTTGCCAGTCACGACGTGCTTACCTATGACACATGGTGGAGCGCCTAGCGCCGTCTTTCTCAGAAACACGGAATGGAGTTAGTCCAGTTCGGCTGCGTAAATTCAGGGGCTGTAATGGGCGAAGAACGGTTGAGAAATATACGCGTTGTGGCGGTGCGCGGTAAGGAATCCGAGAAATTTCCTTACACTATTTCGTGTTATAGTCGCCTGTTGGTTCAATTGCACCGGTAACAGGAGCCCGCTTCTCACGTTCGCCAGAAACGAACCCCACGTTCTGTCGCGAACCCTAACCGGACGCACCACTGTAGCTCCCGCCAACGCTGCTTCCTCGCCGCTCGCTGCCCGCAGCTCCCTCCCCGGCCCGTCGCCTCCTCCGCTTGCTGCGTGCTGCTCTGCTCTTTCGCTCACCACTTGCACGCACAACTCTTCATTTTTCTCCCGTCACTTGCTCGTCTTGTACCCCGCTCGCTTTGCTAACTGGTCCTGGTGTCGCCAGCACAAGCGAGTTGCTTCTGTAGGATTCGTGCAGCCAGCCTTATCGTCAACCTCTGTGTCGTCTTCACACGCGGAGTTTCTCAATACTTGCCATCTAGGGTACCGCGGTCGAGCCCTTTTCTCCACCGCCGCGCCGCACTTTCCTCCTGCCGGCCGGCCGACCACGCGATAGCTGGCGGCGACGGTACCTCGGCGGTGGGGCTGCAGAGCGCCGCGCGGGTGGCGAGTGAGGGAGGGGGAGCGGCAGGCCCGGGTGACGGGATTCTCTTCGGCCGCCATGCCACCATTTGCTCCCACTTCGCGGTGACGCGCATTTGATTGGCTCTCGCCCCGCGCGTCGCCATGCACCGCTCGGGCACGTTCCCCGTCGCCACGCTCGACGGCGACGGCGACGTGAGCCCCTCCCGCGACTTTCCGCGCAACTTCCCCCGCAGCCACAGCAGCGCCGTCCCCGCCGCCCTCCGCGCGGCGTACGACTCGCTCGACTCCGACGACCCATTCCGCCACGCCGCCACCCCGCCCGCGTCGCTGCCGCGCCACCGCCACCACTCCCCGCGCCACGCGCATCCCCATCAGCAGCAGCAGCACGGCGCGAGCGCCCCCCGCCACGTGTCGTACCAGGCGGGGCCCACCTCGTCGCTCCGCCCGCACAGCCACGGCCTGCGCGACGACGGGGGAGGGGGAGCGGCGCGCTTCGCGCAGGACGCGCAGCACCAGCGCGCCGTCGCCGCGGGGCTGAGCCTTTCGCCGCACAGCCTCTCCCCGCACGGCCTCTCGCCGCACGACAGCGGGCTTGGCGGAGGGCCGCTGGAGGACTTTTTCGACGAGGGCGCGGAGGACGCGCGGGGCAGCTTACGGGGGCACGCGCAGCTGGCGGGGCGCGATGTGGGGCATCTGCACGCGCTGGACGCGGAGAGGGGGGGATTTGGGGCGCTGGGGGAAGGCGGAAGGCGACATGAGGGCAGGGGCAGGTTGGGGGGAGGCTTGGCCATGGGGGGCTCGTTCGAGGGGGGGGCGCGCGGGGTGCAGGGGAGCGTGAGCGGAGGGGTGGGAGGGCACGGCGGCATGGGCGTGGGCGCGAGCAGGAGTGGCGTTGGGGGCGGCGGTAGGGTGTGGGCGCGCACGCTGAGCCACCAGGCGGCGGACCTGAGCAGCAGCAGCAGCAGCAGCGCGGCGGGCGGCGGGCGGCACCTGCTGGGCGCGCAATGGCTCGGCCTGGACCGCACTGTGGGTGGCTGTGACATGATTGTAGCGAAGCGAGGGGTCTGTGAGTGTGGCGAGAGGATAGGTATGAGCAAGTAAAGTAAGGAGAAAATGGTTGGATGGTGGGCTGAGAGTGAGTGCGTGTGAGAGGGGCTGCGTTGCCTTGGCTGTGCTGTGCTGCCAGAGTGACGAGCCACCGTGTGTGCGTCTGCCCCTCACCCTGCCCCCTCTCTACCCTGTGCTGTCCCAACCTTCCCCTCTCTCCCTCGAATCGAACCTCGCCCCCTGCAGTCATCAGGGTTTGATGATGCCGATATGCTCGCCACCAATGCCGTGCTGCCACGTGTGAACAGCTTGGCAGTGAACGGCAGTGGCCTGTTTGACTCGGACGACCTGTTGGACCTGCGCCACGCTGCCACGGGGCTGGGGGGGGGGGCCATGGGGTTGGGACGGGATGGCACAGGGCTGGCGGGGGCGCGGGAGAATGGGGGCGGGGGCGGGGGGGTTGGCGAGGGCATCAATCTGAAGCGCGTGTTGCGGCTGGGGGAGGCGGCGCGCAGCAACGATGCGGACCTCGTGCACGCCATCCTGCAGGACGCCCCCTCGCGCACCCCCCTGCTCTCCGCACTGCACCCCGGTGGGTTAACCCAACCCAACCCACCACTCACCTCAGCCGCGGCTCAGCTTGTTCAATCTCTCGGCTTTTAACGGACTGAGTGGAATGAGGCGGCTTGCACGGGTGGGCGCACAGCACAGACGTGGGTCACGCATCAACCAGCTGAACCCAGCACAACCACCCACCTCCGTGTCCCATGCCATGTTACATCGCCATGCGTGCCACCACCTCTCAGCACCGCTTGCCTGTTTGTCTTCTTGTTTGGCTCCAAATAACCTCACTGTGCTGTGCCCTCTTGCCCTTGCTCCACTCCCCCCCCTCCCCCTGGCAGCGACGGGGCGCACGGTGCTGCACGAGGCGGTGGTGGCGGGCAGTGTGGACGCCGCTGCAGTGCTGCTCGAGTGGGGGGCCGACCCCGATGGGGGCACCGCCGCTCAGGTGACTCCCACTCCTGCCCTCTGCCCTCTGCCCTCTGCCCTCTGCCCCTTGCCCTCTGCCCTCTGCCCTCTGCCCTCTGCCCTCTGTGTGCCCTCTGCTGTGCTCCTCATGTGCCTGGCTGGTGTATGCATGCCACGGTGCTACCAGTGTATGTGCATCCCTTCACCACATCTCACACACATGCACAAGTGCGTAAGGTGCAGGCAGTGGCTTTGATTGATACATTCTTCCCGTGTTCGTACTCGCTCAACTTCTCCCCCCATCCCCACTGCTGCATTCACCCCTCTGCATTCCTCACCTCACCGCATCCCTCACACCCACCCTGCCTGGGCACGAGTGGCAGCAGGAGGGCTTCTCGCCGCCGCTGCTGTGGGCGGTGCAGGCGGGCAGTGAGGAGTTGGTGCGGCTGCTGCTCACCAACGGGGCGGACATCAACGCCACCGACGCCCACCGCTGCTCCGCACTGCACTACGCCTGCAGCACCGCCCACAGGTGTGTGTGTGGGCCACAGGTGTGTGTGTGGGCCACAGGTGTGTGTGTGGGCCACAGGTGTGTGTGTGGGCCACAGGTGTGTGTGTGGGCCACAGGTGTGTGTGTGGGCCACAGGTGTGTGTGTGGGCCACAGGTGTGCGGTGCGGTGCGTGCGTGGTGGGGTGCGTGGTGGGGCAGAGGTGTGGTGGGAAGGCAAAAGGAATGGCAGAGTAGTCACGGAGGAACACAGCAGAGTAGTCACGGAGGAACACAGCAGAGTAGTCACGGAGGAACACAGCAGTGCTGCAAGCTCATGTGCTCAAGGGGGGCAATGGGATGGGGAGACCTATGCGCACTATGCTCGACTCCACTCAACTCGCCTCGTGCTCATCATGCGCACCTTCACGTGACCCACCCTGCCACTTAACTCATCCCACTTGTGTGCTCTCACTGGCCCCTCGCTCCTGGGTCCCCTGTTGGGAAGCCGAGCGTGCACCTCTCCGCTTCCCACCACATACCACCTCGCCCACACCCCTCATCCCCTTCCCTTCTTCCCCCCACCCCCTTCACAGGTCTCCGTTCCCTTCCCACCATTCCCGCCCTCCCTACATCCCTTCCTTGTGTCCCTCCCTCTCCAATGGTCCTTATCATTGGATAGAATGAATGGTACAGCAAACAGAGAGCAACGAACGACGGAATGCGAGCTAACGGCCGTGTAAGCCTAGAGAGAAGGTAGAGAAAAAGGGCAAGCCTTCCTCTTTCTCTCTCTTTTCTTTACCCTCGCCCCCCTTTCGTCCCATCTGCCCATCTCACCTTCCCACCCCCACCCCCCATTGCTGGGCGGCAGGGGGATAATAAAGCTGCTGCTGGTGGCGGGCGCCAACATGTATGCGCGCAACAGCGATGGGCTCATTGCGCAGCAGCTGACGGCGTCGGAGCGCATCCGGGCGCTCTTCCGCAAGCTGCATGAGTACCACCTGCGCTCCACTGCCACTGGGGGGGGCGCTGACACCGACCACACGGCCAGCACCAGCGGCGGCAGTGGCAGTGGCGGGGTGGGGGAGGGGGGCGGGCAGCACTGGGAGGGCGGGCTGGACGACACCGCCGCCTCTGCCCATGCCCACCTGCCGGGGGCGGGACTTGGCCACGGGGAGGGCGGGCGGGCGAGGCGGGAGGGGCAGGGAGGTGCATCGGGTGCGCGCGGGGCGGACGCCTTTCCGCTCTCTGCGTCGGTGGCAGCGCCGCCATCGCGGGCGGACTGGCTGCTGGCCAAGAATCGCACCATGAGCTTCCAGAGCCCCTCCCGCGACCCACGCCCCGCGCACCCCCCCCCCTCCGCGTCCATCTCGCCCCTCGCCGCGCACCCCACCTCCCTGCCCGCCCGCTCCATGTCCTTCCGCAGCCCCTCGCGCGACCGCCTGCGCCCCGCCGGCGTCGCCCACCACCATGCCGCACCGCCTTCCGCCTTCTCGTCCGCTGCCGCCGAGCCCACGGGGCTGCCCGCGCGCACCATGAGCTTCTGCAGCCCCACTCGCAGCCACGGCCTGCCCGGGCAGCGTGCGCGCAGCCCCACCCCCGCGGAGGGCCACGAGCAGCTGTTCATGGCAGCGTGGGAGGGCGCCCGCCGCGTGGGCGGCAGTGACAGCCCCGCCGCGTCCCCCGCCCTCTCGCCCTCGCCGCTGCCCTCCTCGCGCTCCGCTGCCTCCCCCACCCGCCACGCTGCAGAGGCGGACGGCGCCGCCAGCAGGGTGGTGAGTGCAGGCGGCGTTGGGGGGGGGGGAGGGCTCAGAGGCGCGGGTGGAGGGGGAGGGATGGGCGCAGCAGGGAGGAGGGTTGGGGGCAGCCTGGCGGGGCGTGCACTGGATGGCGCTGCTGACAGGGCCGTGGCCGCAGGGGGAGCAGCGGGCAGGCGCCATGGGGGCAGTGGCGAGGGGGGCGAGGGCGGGGGGAGAGGGGGGGGAGGGAGGGCAGCGGGGAGAGGAGTAGGGGGAGTGGGAGGGGGGATGGTGTCGGGGCATGGGGAGGTGATGTCAGATGTGGAGGGCGGTGCAGTGCGGTTGCGGCGGGCGAGAGTACCGGGGAGCAGCAGTGTGGGTGGCATGGTGAGCGACGGCGGCGGTGCGGGCGAGTCACGGCTGGGGCGGGCCGCTGGCAGGGGCGCTGGTGGGACGGCCAGGGGGGGTGGCGGGGGGAGGGGTGGGGGGGAGGGGCGAGGGAGAGGGGTGGAGGGTGGGGGGCGGCGGGGAGGGATGGTGCGCACACAGTCTCTGAGTGCCCAGGCTATGAGTGCAGGCGATGCGGTGGAGCGCGGTGGCATGGGTGGCGAGGGAGCTGTGCGCGGTGACAGTGGCATGAAAAGCCCCTCTGGGAACAGCAGACAGGGCGTGCAGCAGCAGCAGAGAGGGGTGGTGAGTGGGGGAGATGAGGAGAGGGGTGAGAAGTGTGGGAGTGATGGCGGAGGAGACAGGTGCAGCGAGGGAGGAGCACGCGCAGCAGAGCCTGGGGGGCTGGAAAAGAACAGAGGGAGGGAGAGAGAAGGCAGTGGGAAGGAGAGAGAGGGAAGTGGGCAGGAAAGATTGGGAAGTGGGAAAGAGAGAGGGGGAAGTGGGAAGGAAAGATTGGGAAGTGGGAAGGAGAGAGGGGGAAGTGGGAAGGAAAGATTGGGAAGTGGGAAGGAGAGAGGGGGCAGCAGCGGGGATATGGTGAGTGGGGAGGGTGCAGAGGGGTGGATGGCGGAGTCGTCTCAGTCGGAGAGTGACCGCGGTGACCATGGGGGCGACCATGGGGGCGACCATGGGGGCGACCATGGGGGCGAACATGGGGGCGCGGGGCGCAGGGACGCAGCGAGGGGGGCGGGCAGGCGGGTGGTGGGGAGGGGCACATCGCAGGAGGAGAGGGCGGGGGGGAAACCAGCTCCTCCACCCACACGCCTGCCGGCCGCTGACCCACCGCCTGCTGCTGCTGCTAGTGCTGCCGGTGCTGCCGGTGGTGCTGCTGCTGGGGCTGGGACGGGTGGGAGGGGAGGGCAGGGGTCAGGGGGAGTGAGGCGGGTGGGCAGCAGTGACGCAGTGGGGGAGGCGGCTGTGTCGCCCGGCCCGCGCTCCCCCCTGGCGGCAGGCTCCTCGCCGCTGACGTCCCCCTCGGCCACCTCGCCGCCCTCCTCCCTCCCCCACGTGCGCCGCCAGGCTCTGGAAGGCCGCAGCAGGCCGGGCAGTGGCGGTGGCAGCGGGGGGGAGGGCGGGCAGCAGCAGCACGGCAAGGCGGGGCAGGGCGAAGGGCGGCGACGGCAGCAGCAGGGGGGGGAGGGGGGCGACTGGCCGTGCAGCGACACGGAGGTGTCTCTGCGCGCTCGCCAGCAGCGCCGCCCGGGCCTGCGCCCCTCCGCCCCCGGCGCCGCTGCACCGTCCGCGTCCCCTCCGCCTGACAGCATTGCATCGCGCGGCAGCAGGGGAGGGGCGGGCGCAGCAGCGGCAGAGGAGGGTGCGGCAGGAGCGGCGGGGGGAGGGGGTGGGCAGCGCAGCGGTGGCGGCAGGGAGGTGGTGACGGACGACGAGAGCATGCACGCCGCCAGGGGCCCTCGCCCCACCCCCTCCTCCCTGCGCCGCCTCGCCTCCGCTGTGCCGGGTGGCTCCGGTGTGGCGGGTGGTGGTGGCGAGGAGGCGTCAGGGCGGGCAGAGGGTGCGTCGGCAGCAGCAGCTGCGGTGGGAGCAGCGGCAGGGGCAGCTGGGAGGGGCAAAGGGGAGAGGCCTGGCAGCGCAGGGGGGAGGGCGGAGAGGCCTGGCAGTGCGGGAGGCAAGGGAGAGAGGGCTGGCAGCACACGTGGCGCTGCTGCTCGCACTGCTGCTCCCACTGCTGCTGGGGGCACTGGTGCTGGCAGTAGTAGTGGTGGCGGTGGTGCTTCTGCTGCTGCTGCCTCGAGTGCAGGCGTTGAGGGCAGCGAGGGCAGCGGCACAGCTGCTGCTGCTGCTGCTGCTGCTGCTGCTGCTGCTGTGGCAGGCGCGTCTCCATCTCCCTCCAAGGCTGCTCACCCCGCCTCCGCCGCTCAACCCACGCGGGCACGCAAGTCGGTGAAGTTCTCGCTGCCCGCTCATGGCAGCACCCCGCCCAGCCACACTGCAGACGGGGAGAGTCCGGGTGGAGGGACTGGGGTGGAGAGGAGTGGCAGTGGGGAGGAGGCAAGTGGGGGAGAGCAGGGAGGGAGGGAAGCATCAGCGGAGGGGAAGGCGGGGAGGGGCGGCGACGGGGAGAAGAAGGGTGGTGTGCGGCCGCCCCTGTCTCCCAAACCCGTGGAGGCACGCGAGGGCGCCGTGGAGGCACGCGAGGGCGCGGATGCCAAGGCAGGGCGTGTGGACGCCAGTGGAGCCGAAGCATCAAGTGCGGGCAAAAGGGAAGGAGCTGCTGCATCGCCTGCTCCGGCCTCCCCTGCCCTTGAACCCAAAACCACAGACCCCGCTGTTTCTCCCAAGGCCGCTGCTCCCACCTCCCCTCTCACCCCTCCCTCCTCCACCCCATCCCCCTCCACCCCCACCGCTGCCTCTGCTCCGGATGGTGGGGAGGCGGCATGTGGAGCAGCGTCGTTCAAGTGGAAGAAGGGCGAGATGCTGGGCGAAGGGGCATATGGCAAGGTGAGTGCAACGCAGCTGCCTGCATGGCAAGGCGGGGAAGAGTGTGCGCATCCCGTTGCCCATGTGCGCACCCCGTTGCCCATGTGCGCATCCCGTTGCCCATGTGCGCATCCTGTTGCCCATGTGCGCATCCCGTTGCCCATGTGCGCATCCCGTTGCCCATGTGCGCATCCCGTTGCCCATGTGGGCATCCCGTTGCCCATGTGCGCATCCCGTTGCCCATGTGCGCATCCCGTTGCCCATGTGCGCATCCCGTTGCCCATGTGCGCATCCCGTTGCCCATGTGCGCATCCCGTTGCCCATGTGTGCATCCCGTTGCCCATGTGTGCATCCCGTTGCCCATGTGCCGAGGTGTTACAGCAAACGATTGCTTTGTGAACACCCATGTCCTTTCCTTGTGTCCAAGAGTCATATGTGTCGATGAGTGACCTACGGCGGAGACGACATGAGCGGCGTTGGTATGTGATCAACCGGTGGCAAAGTCCCAGCCCACCACGTGCGATGGCAAAGTCCCAGCCCACCACGTGCGATGGCTGTTATGCTCACACCACGTGCGATGGCTGTTATGCTCACACCACGTGCGATGGCTGTTATTCTCACACCACATGCGATGGCTGTTATGCTCACACCATGTGCGATGGCTGTTATGCTCACACCATGTGCGATGGCTGTTATGCTCACACCATGTGCGATGGCTGTTATGCTCACACCACGTGCGATGGCTGTTATGCTCACACCACGTGCGATGGCTGTTATTCTCACACCACATGCGATGGCTGTTATGCTCACACCATGTGCGATGGCTGTTATGCTCACACCATGTGCGATGGCTGTTATGCTCACACCATGTGCGATGGCTGTTATGCTCACACCATGTGCGATGGCTGTTATGCTCACACCTAGTCAGACTGGAAGTGACTCGGGAGGAACCGGTCTGTGACCCTGCTCGTACTTGCCGCCACAATGCCACTCCTTGCCATTTGCCATATCCTCACCCATCTCCAAGAAAGTGACCAATGCCTGACAAGTCTGTCAAGGCTCATTGACGAGTCTGTCAGAATTCTGATCGAATTTGCTTAGAGACGGAGGAAACACGATCGCCGATAGAGTGGAACTGAATCTGCGTTGTGTTGCGCTGCGGTGTGGCGTGGTGTGGTGCGGTGGGGCGGGCAGGTGTTTCTGGGGCTGAACGAGATGACGGGCGAGCTGATGGCGGTGAAGGAGATTAAGATGACGAGCCAGGGCGACGAGAAGGCCATGCTGATCGCAGCGCTGGAGCGCGAGATAGTGCTGTACAAGAAGATGCGGCACCGCCACATCGTGGGGTACATCGACATGGAGAAGCACGAGGCCGATGGCTCCATCTACATCTTCCTTGAATTCGTGTCGGGCGGCTCCATCCACAGGTGGGCGTGGGGCACGGGTGGGCGTGGGGAGGGGCACGGGTGGGCGTGGGGAGGGGCACGGGTGGGCGTGGGGTGGGGCACGGGTGGGCGTGAATGCTCGTGTCTTACTGCTGGTGGGCGAGCTGAGCTTCATTGACTTGCTCTTTAGTGCCACCTCTTCCTTACCATTCCTCTCGCTTCTTACCCCTCATCCCTCTCCCCTCCCCCTCCCCACTCCTCTCCCTCCTCCCTCCCTCCCCCCGGTATCCCCCCACAGCATGCTGGAGAAGTTTGGGGCGTTCAGCGAGTCGCTGGTGCGGGTGTACACGCGGCAGCTGCTGCTGGGGCTGGAGTACCTGCATGCGTGCCGCATCGTGCACCGCGACATCAAGGGCGGCAACGTCCTCGTCGACCGCGACGGCGTCATCAAGCTCGCCGACTTCGGCGCCTCCAAGGTCAGCCCACCGGGGGGAGGGGGAGCGGGAGTGAGCGGGGGGTGAAGGTGGAATGGGAGGGGGGGTTGTGCAAGGCGGGCGCGTGGAAGGGTGCAAGGCAGGTGGGGCAGTGTGGATGAGGTGTGTGGCGTGGAGGTGTGTGGCGTGGAGGTGTGTGGCGTGGAGGTGTGTGGCGTGGAACACAATCCCCAGCAGGAGTCTGGCTTCTCACAATTGCCTTCCTCTTCCTCTCTGCCAACCAACCACACGCTCACCCTCCATCCCCCCACCCTTCCTTCCTTCCCTCCCTCCTCCCGGCCCCTCCTTGACGCGCAGAGTTTCCACGAGGGCACAGTGGGCGAGGGGTGCAAGAGCATCCGCGGGTCGGTGTTCTGGATGGCGCCCGAGGTCATCAAGGGGGAGGGGTACGGCCGCCGCGCTGACATCTGGAGCGTTGGCTGCACTGTCATCGAGATGCTGACGGGGCGGTGAGTCATCGAGATGCTGACCGGGCGGTGAGTCATTGAGATGCTGACAGGGCGGGAGTCATGGACTGAGGTATTAGGATTGGTGTAGGTGAGTAGAGCCCCACGCTCCCGTCTCCCTTCCCGCCTCGCTGCAGCCATTCCTTCTCGTCCTCTTGACACCTTCTGCCTCCCTTGCGCTTGCTTCGTGCTCACACTGACCTCCTGCTGGCATGTTGGCATGGGGCGTGGGGCGGGGCGGCAGGCACCCATGGCCGGGGATGGACAACACGTGGTCGGCCATATTCCACATCGCCAAGACCACCACGGGCCCGCCCATCCCCGACGGCGTGTCCGCCGAGGCCTCCGACTTCCTCACCGCCTGCTTCCAGCTCGACCCCAACCAGCGCCCCTCCGCCTCCGATGTGAGCCACACTGTTTCCTGCTGCCATGCTGCCATGCTGCCATGCTGCCATGCTGCCATGCTGCCATGCTGCCATGCTGCCATCCTGCCATGCTGCCATGCTGCCACGCTGCCATGCTGCCATGCTGCCATACTGCCATGCTGCCATGCTGCCATGCTGCCATGCTGCCATGCTGCCATGCTGCCATGCTGCCATACTGCCATGCTGCCATGCTGCCATGCTGCCATGCTGCCATGCTGCCATGCTGCCATGCTGCCATGCTGCCATGTGCGCCATGCTGCCATGTGCGCCATGCTGCCATGTGCGCCATGCTGCCATGTGCGCCATGCTGCCATGTGCGCCATGCTGCCATGTGCGCCATGCTGCCATGTGCGCCATGCTGCCATGTGCGCCATGCTGCCATGCTGCCATGCTGCCATGTGCGCCATGCTGCCATGTGCGCCATGCTGCCATGCTGCCATGCTGCCATGTGCGCCATGCTGCCATGTGCGCCATGCTGCCATGTGCGCCATGCTGCCATGTGCGCCATGCTGCCATGCTGCCATGCTGCCATGTGCGCCATGCTGCCATGTGCACCATGCTGCCAAGTGCGCCATGCTGCCATGTGCGCCATGCTGCCATGTGCGCCATGCTGCCATGTGCGCCATGCTGCCATGTGCGCCATGCTGCCATGTGCGCCATGCTGCCATGTGCGCCATGCTGCCATGTGCGCCATGCTGCCATGTGCGCCATGCTGCCATGTGCGCCATGCTGCCATGTGCGCCATGCTGCCATGTGCGCCATGCTGCCATGTGCGCCATGCTGCCACTGCCTCCCTCTGCCCATCTTCTCTGATCTGTTCGTATCGCTGCAGCAAGGCTGCCTCTGTCCGCCCTGTGTATTGCACGCATGCCCCCGTGCTGCACGCATGCCCCCATGCTGCAACAGCCTCTTGCCAGTCCATGCCTCACTGCACGTCCCACTCACCTTCCGTAGCTCCTCTCTCTCACATGTGCATAACACACGCCACAGGCAGCTCCCGTGTGCCAGGCACACACACTCGCTGCCACATGGACCACCTACCCTCACTGCCACATGGACCACCTACCCTCACTGCCACATGGAACACCTACCCTCACTGCCACATGGACCACCTACCCTCACCAACTCGCACGCTCCCCCATGCCTGTGCCTCCTCTCTCTCTTTCTCTCTCTGTCTGCAGCTGCTCACGCTACCATTCGTGCAGGTGCCCGACACGCCCAGGGATGCCCGCTTCGCACCCTTGGTCGCCCCCTAGCGCATCGCCTCCCGCGTCCCCTGCCCCATCCCTCACCATGTCGCCCAGCCCATTGCATGCCGCACCCCACCACGTCCGCGCCACTCCCCCCCCTCCCCCTCCTCCCCCCCTCCCCCCTCTCCCCTCCGCAAGTGGTGTGGGGCTCGTGCCGTGCGGCACCACTGCTAGCTGTGCCAGTTGCAGGGACTTCATGAATCAATCGCTCACCCGTGTGCGTATTTATGCATGCCCCCCTTTCGACTGCGGCTGCACTGTTCTCTCTAACACGTATGATTACCAGCAGGGTTAGGCTTGGTCCAACAATGATTGAGCATACATCAATATTTATTTGGTAGAGTAGAGTCCACTACAGGTAGACAAACTAATTCTAGAAACTAATCTGGATATACAACCCCAGGTGTTGTGTTATAATATGGGATGAACGTATTGCACCCAGATGGGTAAATCTGTGCCACCCACCGTCATCCCTTGGATTAAGATAGTGCTGATTCAGCCCAACAGAGTTGAACACAGGGGTGCCTTCATACATATCCTAATATCAGACCATCTGGCAGTATGATACCGTATTAGACACCCTGTCGAGCACAGTCTGCATTCCATTCCCTCTACTCCACGTTGGAGTACCACACGAGAGGTGTCTGGAAGCACATGGACTCGCGGTACCTTCTGCCAGCGCCCACGCGGCACCCCTCCACCCACTCCTCGCGTGTCATCCACGACTCTCGGCTCCAGTCCAGCACGCCCAGCACCGCACCCCCCCGCCACGCCGTCGCGCCCGCAGGATGCCTGCTCGCCAGCACCTCCACCTCCACCCGCCCCTGGCCCCCCGCGCCACCACCCGCAGCAGCGGCAGCAGCAGCCTGAGCCTGTGCTGCAGTGGCTACCGCTGCCGCTGCTGCCGCGGCTGCAGCAGCTGCGGCAGGATTGTGTCCCGAACCTGGTGGAACAGCAGCAGCTGCAGTGGCAGCAGTGGCGGTGGCGGCAGCAGCAGCAGCTTGAGCCTGGTGGGCGATGGCCTGTAAGCGGGCGGTGAGAGCGCGAGGCACGGCCTGCTCGATGCGCCTCCTCAGCCCGGGCAGAGCGGCGCCACCCCCGGTGAGCACGATGTTGGTCAGCAGCTTCTCCCGCCCCTCCCTGTCCGGCACTGCTGCCACGCTCGCCGCGATGGCCGCGTCCACCCCCAGCAGCAGCGGCACACGCCGCCCCCCTGTGGGAGCAGCAGAGGCGGTGGGTGGCGCACGGTCGGGGTCGGGCAGGGCGAGGGCGTCGAGGCGGCGCAGCGCGGAGTCGGGCAGCGAGGGGTCGTCCAGGGCGCCCTGGTGGTCCACACGCAGGTGGGCCGGCGGCCACGGCCACGGGGTGATGGGCGAGTGCACGTGAGAGAGCGGCGAGAGCATGAGGGCGGGGCGGAAGAGCATCTCTGCTGCTGCCCGCATGGCTGCTCGTGGCAGGGGCACAGCATGGCGCACTGCCAGTGGCGAGGCAGGTGAGCGCTGAGTGAAGTGCACCCGGCAGCACCTCAAGGCGCTTGCCTGGCCGTCGAATGCATCCTCGCCGCCCTGCTCCTCCACCTGCAGCGAGCAGTGCGCCTCCTTCACCGCCTGCAGCTGCACCCACTCCTGTGCATCCGCCCATGGGTCAAAGCCTGGGTACGGCCACAGCCACTCCCCCTCCTCCCACAACTCAACCCTGTCTGCGCCCTCGTCCACAGCGCCACCACCACCTGCGCCTCTACTTTCCTGCGCACCCTTCTCTCTGCTGCCCCCCCCCTCCCCCCCTCCACTCCCCTCGCCCCGCACTCTCTTCGCCACCCGCAACGACCGCCTGATGCCCTCGCCACTCTCCCTCTCGCCCACCTCCTCCTGCCGCTCCCCCTCATCGCTCTCCTTCGAGTCCACGCTCTCCAAATCTCGACCCTTGCGCTTCTCGCCTCCACTCCTGCCTCCCCCGCCCGCCCCATCCACGGGCGTGGGAGTGCGGGGGCGGCGGCCGCCCAGCATGTCGTTGGCGGCCCACAGCAGGCACAGCCCCGCGTCCTCCGACCCCACTGGCACCACCACGCGAGACGCCGCGCGCACGCTGCCCTCCTCCACGCACGCCACGCTCACCGTGTGCGCGCCCACGTCCACCACACATGCGGACGGCGCGGCGCTGCCAAAGGCGGCGGCCACGGCCTGCTGGTGCACCACCAGGGACGCCAGGCGCAGGTGCCTCAGCGCCACGCCCACCAGCTCCTTCACCTCGCGCCCATCCATGCTCTCTGGCACCACCACCACCGCCGACACCTGCTGCTGCCACTGCTGCCGCTGCCGCCGCCGCTCCACCCCCTCCTCGCCATCCCACTCCCGCTGCTGCCCGTCCCTGCCCGCGCGATCCTGAGGGGCAGCAGCAGTGGCAGCATGAGGATGGGGGAGAGGGCAGAGGCGGGCGAGGGCGGCGTCCCAGATGGCGCAGAGGTCGTCCAGCACGTGCAGCAGCGGGTAGCTGTGGCTGGCGTTCAGGTGCCCGCGCGCCATGGGCCGCCGCACGCAGTACGGCGCGCCCCCAGGGATGGCCAGCGCCGCCTCGCCCACCACCACGGGGCGGTACCGTGGTCGCCCACGCTGCCTGCTGTGCGGCGACGGGAGCGGGGGGGATGTGAGCGCCTCGTCGTCCCCCTCCTTCACCCCCTCTCTCCCCTCCTGCTTCACCCCCACTTGAGCCCCTGCGTTCACCGCCCCTCCATCCACTGCACCCTTCACTGCCTCGCCCTGCCCCACCGCCTGCCTGCCCACTCCCTCCTCCGCGCCCCGCTCTGCCTCTTCGCCCTCTCTTGCTCCCCCGCTCCCTGCCACCACAGCCAAATCATCCTCTGCCCCTTTCTCCATCCCCTTCCCCCTTTCCAACCGTGTCTGTGCCGCACTGCTGCTCTTCCCATGCACGCCACCACTCGGCCCCACCACTCGCTCCCCACCCACCATGCCCTCGCCCTCCCCTTCGCCCGCAACCGCCTCCTCTCTCCTCACTGCCCTCCCCTCTCCGCCCTTTCCTCCCCCATCCCCCGTGCCCTCTCCTCTACCCGTAGCCTCCCCTCGTGTCGCACACGCACCATCCACTGCATGGTCCTCGCTCGCTCCCCCCTCTTCACCCATGCCACTCGCACCTGCGCCCTTGCCTGCACCTGCGTCCATCACACCCTCCTTTGACTCCTCTCTCTCCACCCCACTGCTCCTCCCTTGCTCCTCCCCCTCCTTCCCACCCTCCTCCCCCTCTTTCCCATCCTCCTTCTCACCCTCCTTCCCATCATCCTTCCCACCCTCCTTCCCTTCCTCCTTCCCACCCTCATTCTCAACCTCCTTCCCACCCTCCTGCCCACCCTCTTCCCCATCCATACCTGCCTCCCCGCTGTTGCCTCCACCCATCCCATCGTCCCCCCTTCTCGTAACCTTGCCATCCCCTCCCTCACATTCCACTTCTTTCACCTCATCTTCTGCCCTCTCATCTTCTTCTCCCTCACCTCTTTTCTCCTTCCCTTCATGCTCCTCCCCTGTCTGCACTTGCCCGCACGTGCCACCGCATGCCATTCTCGCCCTCCCCTGCGCGCCCGCATCTGCGCCACGTGCCTGCGCGCTGCTCGTCACCTCGCCCCTCGCCTGCGCGCACACCTCGCTCGCCCCTGCCTCGCTCTCCTCCGCCCTCCCCACCCGCGCGAGAGCACCGATCCGTGTGCCGTGCTCTGCTGGCCTGTCTGTCGGCGTATGTCCGTTGAAAAATTGAGATCGAACTTACGGCACGCCCTTACGGCGTATTTGCTGACACGAATCCTCGTCTATTCCAGATGGGGTTCTGTAACGGGTGCAATGTAAACGAGATAGCGAGGATTGCACTAGGTTGTCAAACGAGTACAAAATATGAGCGAAGGTGATACGAGTGCAATTGAGTGAGCTAGCTAGAATTGCACTATCGAAGCAAGAATACAATGAGCGAAGGCATGAGCGAAGAATATATAGCGAAACTACAGTGGTAACGGTAATGTGTGAAAATGGGGTGTGCGACGGGCCTAGCGCCGAGGTTGGGAAATGTCGAGGCGGAGGTCCGGAGCGCGGGTTACTAACCGAACCGTGAGGTTGGGTCGCGTCGTGAACAGTGGCGGAAACAGTGTCGAGTCGAGTGTCGCGAGTGGTAACGGATTACTGTTGGGTGCTGTTGGCGGGAACAGTGGTGTACGCGCTGAGCAGGGACGCGAAGTAAGGAAAATGAATTTTCCTTACACTACCCCCCCCTCTAAGGGCGTATTCCTAGCTTCGGGTCATCCGGTGTTTGTGTCATCCGAAATTGTGGGAGCCAATCGGAAAGCCCGCGGTTTGAGATTCGATTTTTTTGATTGGATCCCGCAATTTCGGATGACATGAAGGCGGGATGACCCGAAGCTAGGAATACGCCCTAAGGAGGCCCTCCTTACGAAAGCGCGTGTACATCCTGGAAATTTCGGCTGCGCAGTTACTCAGTGAGGACGGGGTGACTTTCAATTCTATCCAGGGGAACCCAGTTGTCGTCGGTGGGCGTGCGGTCTTTCCAGCGGATCAGAAATTCGATCCTGCGAGCTCCCCGTGGGTCACGAACTCGGTGGCTCAAAATCTTCTCGGGCGTGATGATTGGCTCTGTTGGTGGACGTGTCATGCTGGCGGGGTGGTTGCGAGGTAGTTGGCTAGTGGATGGTACGTATGGTCGAAGCAGGCTGACGTGGAAGGACGGGCTGACGTACCAGTCAGCAGGGAGGAGGAGGTGGGCGGTGACGGGTGTGATCATGTGGCTGATGCGAAATGGCCCGCAATATCGGGGGCGAAGTTTTGGGGTGAAAGGCAGGCAGAGGTTCTGAGTGTCGAGTCGTACAAGGTCGTCGGGCTGGTAAGTGACAGGTCTGCGGTGGCGGTCAGCGTTGCGTTTAGCGATGACGTTGGCTTTTTTTAATTGCGTCGGCTGCCCGAGTCCGTGCTGCCTGTAGGATTTCTGCGAACTGTTGTGCGCGAGGTACAGGATTGTCGGAATTCGGGGTCATGGGTACTGTAGGGTCTTGTCCGTAGTTCAGGTAAAACGGTGACTGTTGGGTCGTGGCGGATGGCGAGTTGTTGTACGCGAACTCGATGAGTGGCAGTTGCTGTTCCCACGTGGTTGGGTCGTCGCACGTGGCTCGGATCAGTTGCTCCATGGTTTGGTTTGTCCGTTCTATCTGTCCATCGGTTTCGGGGTGGTACGAAGAACTAAACTGTAGTCGTGTGCCGAACTTCTGCCACAGGTTCCGCCAGAAGTTGCTAGTGAATTTCGTGTCGCGGTCGCTGATGATTGCTGCCGGTATCCCGTGCAGTCGAACGACGGTTGAGATGAAGAGGCGGGCTGTTTCTTCGGCTGCGAAATGTGCCATTTTCGTCAGCCGATCGACGACGACCAGGATCGCGTCGTTCCCATGCGCTCCAGCCGGTAACCCCGTGACGAAGTCCATCGTCACCTACTGCCAAGCACGCTCTGGGGGTGGTATCGGCTGCAACTGCCTTGCCGGCCGCTTCCGTGATGATTTCATAGTTGGCAGGTAGGACACGATGCCACGTGTCGTTGCACGTCGGTCAACATCTCGGGCCAGTAATAATACCGCTACAGCTGCTGCCGTGATTTTTTTACTCCGAAATGGCCTGAGGTAACTCCGTCGTGTGCCTCCTGTAGCAGTAATTCCCGTAGTAACGTGCAACCCGGTACCCAGATGCGGTCGGTGCCGGCTTTTACGTAGTAAACTCCCTTTGCTGCTGCGAACTGCGGAGAATTTCCTCCTGTGAAGAATGGGTCAGTTTGATAGCCGTGGGTGAATATTCCTGTCAGTAGTGGGCTGGTCTGGGTGAGTAGTATGGCGTAGATTTGGGCAGTGGGGCGGGTCAGTTCGTCAGCGATGTTCGATGCCCCCTTTTTGTAGGTGACTTTGTAGTGGAAATTCGATTCGAGGAAATCGAGCCAGCGGATCTGTCGTGGGTTGAGGTGGAGCTGTGCGCGGAGGTACTGTAGTGATTTGTGGTCTGTCCGTACTGTCACGTCTGCGCCGGTCAGGTAACAGTGCCACACTTTGAATGCGTTCACGATCGAGAGCATTTCCCGGTCGTGTATCGGGTATTTTTTCTCGGGCGGATGCATTTTTCATGACTCGTATTTGATAGGCTGTAGGCTGTTGCCGAAATCTTGTAGCAGTACGGCTCCGATGGCGATGTCGCTTGCGTCTGTAACCACTTCGAATGGGCGGTGGGGGTCGGCGATGCGGAGTACGGGCGGTGAACAGAGAACATTTTTCAGGGCAGAGAAGGCAGCATGCTCTTTCTCCCCCCACATAAAAATGACTCCCTTCCGCAGCAGATCCGTCAGTGGGGCCGTTAACCTCGCCATGTCGGGGACGAACCGACGCACGTAATTAACGAACCCTAAAAACTCTGCAGCTCCGTGATATGTGTTGGGGGTGCCACGCTTTTACCGTGTCCAGCTTATTTGGGTCGATCTCAACCCAAGTCTCCGAAATAACGTGCCCCAGAAACTCCAGCATGTCTTGAAGAAACTCGCACTTGGAACCCTTGGTCAGTAGTCTGTGTTTGTCTAAAGTTTTAAAAAATGCTTCCAGGTCTGCTAAGTGCTGCTGCTTGTCGCGACTGTAGACGGGGATATCGTCGAGGTAAACTATCACGCATTTATCTAAGAGCGGCCTAAATGCTGTCAGATTTATATGACATAGCTACTGTAGGCTATAGTGGGGTAGCACATATGGGGTACAGTTTTCCTAGGGTTTGCATTTGTACCCAACTTTCCCTTAGTCATTCCATTCCTGTTTTTTTTTTATTCACATGGTATAGAGCGGGTTCCTACATGGGACCGTTCCTTCCTAAGGGCCCACCATAAGATTTTTTTTTTTTAGCTGCCCGCGCACATTGCGCCCTGCCCTAATTTTTTTTTTTAGCGGCCCCTACGCTGCCCCTACGCGGCCCCTACACCGCCTCCCACGCGCCCCCTATGCGGCCCCTGGCGGCGCCCTGACGAGGCCCCTGCCGGCGCCCTATCGCGGCCCCTGACGCGCCCCCTGGTGGCGCCCTTACGCGGCCCTGACGCGGCCTGACGCGGCCCCTGGCGGCGCCCTGACGCGGCCCTGCCGTGGCCCCTGACGCGGCCCTGACGCGGCCTGCCGCGGCCCCTGCCGCGGCCCTGAAGCGGCCCCTGACGTGGCCCTGACACGGCTCTGCCGCGGCCCTGACGCGGCCCTGACGCGGCCCTGCCGCGGCCCCTGGCGGCGCCCTGACGCGGCCCCTGACGCGGCGCCCTGACGCGGCCCCTGCCGCGGCCCTGACGCGGCCCTGCCGCGGCCCCTGACGCGGCCCTGACGCGGCCTGCTGCGGCCCCTGCCGCGGCCCTGAAGCGGCCCCTGACGCGGCCCTGACGCGGCTCTGCCGCGGCCCTGACGCGGCCCTGACGCGGCCCCTGCCGCGGCCCCTGGCGGCGCCCTGACGCGGCCCCTGCCGCGGCCCCTGACGCGGCCCCTGCCGCGGCCCCTGACGCGGCCCCTGACGCGGCCCCGCCACCTACCTTTCCGGCCACGCCGCCTCCTCTCAGCGGCCCCGCCGCCTCCTCCCAGCGGCCCCGGACGCCGCCCTCTCAGCGGCCCCGCCGAGCCGCCCAGCAGCCTAGCCGCCCAGCAGCTGAGCCACCGAGCCGCCCAGCAGCCGAGCCGCCGAGCCGCCCAGCAGCCGAGCCGCCCAGCAGCAGAGCCGCCGAGCTGCCCAGCAGCTGAGCCGCTGAGCCGCCCAGCCGCCGAGCCGCCCAGCAGCCGAGCCGCCCAGCAGCCGAGTCGCCGAGCCGCCCTGTAGCCGAGCCGCCCGAGCCGCCCTGTCCGGTAAGAGCAGCGCCTCTCTCACAGCACTGCCCTCACCCCACTGTTTGCGCTGCTAGTCTACTGCTGTCATGGCTACCCCTAGTGTCCTCGCTTTTGACGCTGAGGGTCGGGCCATTGACTTTGACGTCTGGATAGATGACCTGCATCTTTTCTTACAGTGCGATAGGGCAGACGGCCTCTCCCTCTTTGACCTCACTTCTGGTGCCTCTCCTGCCCCCGCCACTGATGCTGACGCAACTGTTCGCTCCCAGTGGGCCACGCGCGATGCTGCTGCACGTCTTGCTGTGCGTCGCCACCTGCCTACCTCTGAGCGTGCGCACTTTAGCCAGTACAAGAGTGCTCAGACCTTGTACGACGCTGTAGTTGCACGCTACTCCTCCCCTGCCACTGCTGCACTGAGTCGCCTCATGCTACCGTACCTCTTCCCTGACCTTGCTGCCTTTCCCACAGTCGCTGACCTCATTACGCACCTACGCACTAGTGACACTCGCTACCGCGCTGCGCTTCCTGCTGAGTTCTGCGCCAAGAACCCCCCCCCCATGTACATCACCCTCTACTACATAGTCACCCGGCTCCCTGACTCCCTTCGCGTGGTCAGGGACCACTTCCTCTCAGTTTGCCCCACCACTCTCACCGTTGACCTCCTCGAGAAGTCCCTCCTAGCAGCAGAGAAGAGCATAGTAGCTGTAGGAGCCTCTCGTGGTGACCCTCGCACCCCCATCTTTGAGGGGTGTTCCCCCTCCCCCCTTTTGCCCTCTGTGCCTCTGCTGCTGCGGCCGACCTCGTTGGGCTTGAGTCGGTCGGTGCGGCGTCTACCCCTAGCGGGAGACGCCGCCCTGGCAAGGGCAAGGGGGGCAGGGGCGCTGGAGGAGCTAGCGGGGGCGGTGGAGGCGGCAGTGGAGGCGGTGGAGGAGGTGGGGGTGGCGGTGGGGGTGGTGGCGGGGGTGGAGGTGTCGGTGGCGGCAGTGGAGGCGGAGGCGGCAGCGGCAGTGGCGGAGGGAGCGGAGGTGGCGGCGGTGGAGGAGGAGGCGGCGGAGGAGGTGGAGCTGGTCGGGGTGGCGCTGCGCAGAGGGTCGGCTCCGGTGGTGGTCAGCGCCAGCAGCAGCAGCAGCACCAGCAGCGCACTCGTGACATCCCCTCCCCTCAGCAGCTCCGTGAGTGGTACACTGCACGCCAGAGGGGTGGGGGTACTGGTCCGTGCGCCTACGTCCTCCGCACCGGCGACCGCGCGGGTGAGCAGTGCGGGGGTGCGCACTCCACCCAGCGCTGCTTTGGCCGCCTGACGGACGCTTGGCGTCACCAGTTCCCTGAGGCCACTGAGATCCCCCGCTGGGGTGAGCTGTCTAGGGCGGGTGTGGCTGTCTTTGACCTTGACTTTGATGCTATTCTTGCTGCCATGTATACTGTGACTATTAGTGATGAGGGTGACTGTTACCGGTGTTTTCCGCCCGACCCGGGCATTGAGACTGCTGCTCTAGGTACTGGTGAGGCTGCTGCTCTAGGTGCTAGCGAGGCTGCTGCTCTAGGTGCGTCTGCTCCCTCAGGTGCTGGTGAGTCTGCTCTCTCAGGTTCTGCGTCGGCTTCGGCCTCCCACACCTTCACCCTTGACTCGGGGGCTTCTCGCTCCTTCTTTCGAGACCGCACCACACTCACGCCGCTTAGCCGGCCAGTTGCAGTCTCTCTGGCAGACCCCTCTGGGGGTCCTGTCCTTGCTCACTTCTCCACTGTCCTCCCGTGTCCGGCGGCCCCCTCTGGCACCCTGTCTGGTCTTTACCTTCCCTCGTTCTCTACGAACTTGGTGAGTGGTGCTGACCTACAGGATGCGGGGGTTCACCAGTTCACTCCTGCGAGTCGGCGGGTGACCCACTGCACGGACGCTCGGACAGGCCGACACCTGGCCACGTTTACCCGTCGGCCGGGGTCGAGCCTGTACACCCTGACCACTGCGTCTCCTCCAGTCACTGCGTCTGGTCAGGTAGCTGCGTCGGGTCAGGTGTTTGCTGCAGCGTCCAGGTCTGGTCCTGAGTCTGCCCCCTGTTCGTGTCGCCTCCTGTCTCACGAGACTCTCCTCTGGCACCACCGCCTTGGTCACCCCTCCCTGCTTCGTCTCCGAAGCATGGCCTCCCGTGTCCTTGTCTCTGGTCTTCCCCGGTCCCTCCCTCCCCTTCCTCCGGGGCCTGGCCCTACCTGCGTCCCCTGTGTCGAGGGGCGGCAGCGGGCTGCCCCTCACTCCTCCCAGTTTCCTCCGACAGAGGCCCCGCTGCAGACGCTTCACATGGACGTGTGGGGCCCGGCCC